GCAAGTAGAGAAGTTTCCTTCAGAACAGCCTCAGGTAGAACCAGTTCATTCTTTGATGACATTCTATTGGCATGATTCTGGGGCCAGATATCCTTAAGACACATTATACATTTCTAAAAATGTTTAAGCTCCCAATATCTTCTAAGAGTAATTCTTCAAGTATGAGTAAGATCTTTATTTAAATGGAAATATTCAATCACACGTGATGGGAATTTCATTAGTATTATGTGGCATTCTTGGTATTTTTTTTCCATGGCATAATTGTTGTTTTTGTTTTATCCTACTTACAAAAATTCCCCCTTTTATTCAAATCACTTAATAATGCAAATTGTGCCATTATGGCTCGGTGATCTTCTCACCAGATTTCTGGAACAAAAACCTAACAGTCTGAGAGTATAAATTAAATTCAATCTTCCTTAGGAAGTATGGGGACTTACTGAGATCACCTGGGCACCAACACTATGTTTAGCTTTTCAGGAGGCATAAAGGAGAAGCCTGACCTCTCTGGTAATCTGAGAAAGGCAAATGGACCAGGTGTATCTGGGAAAATTCACCCAAACAAAACCAGGGCCCTCAGCACTCCCGCCGGAGTTGGACAGCAAGTGACAAAGGACGTAGGCAGTAGAAGTGGGATTCTGGGATCAGTGAGGCTGAGGAAGAGGATGATGCCCAACCATCCCCATGCCCTCTTCTGCCCTAGACCCGGGCATTTCTTTATGGGGTGGGGGAAAGAGCAGCGCTGTCTCTTCCTTCAGTCTCTCTACCGTTACTGTCTCAGAGGCGGCTCACAGTGTTAAGAAGCTCCGATGGCTTCTTGACAGCCCTCACTTAAGGATGAACCTTAGAGTCCTCTAGATTTTTATTCAAGAGAGAACAAAGAGAAAAGGTACAGACTGCTCCCTCCTCTCCTCCTCCTCTCTTCTTTCTTCATTCTGTTTTTAGAGGAGTTTCTAAGATGGTCATAACTTAGCATTCTAGAGCTTCTGGAGGGTCCTTAGGGGCATCCTGTCCAACCACATCATGCAACAGAGGAGGAAACCGAGGCCCAAAGGGGGTACTATGGTTGCCCTTGATAGGGGGCAAACCCCAGGGTTCATGTGCAGGAGGCTTGGTTCCCAGTGTGGAGATGTGGGAGGTGGTAGGACTTAAATAGAGAGGCCCACTGAGAGGTAAACAGGTCGTTGGGGGGTGCTGTACTCAGAAGGGATTAATGCAGTTCTTATGGCACCTCAGTTAGCTCCCCAGTTGTGGGTTGCTACTAAAGAGCAACAACCAGTCCTCTGGGTTCCTGTCTCACCACCCAATTTCTTCCACATGCATCACTGTAATGTCGTATGAGGACCTTGCCAAGCCAAACAGATAAACCCGTGAGCTAAATAAACCCCTTTTCTTTATAAAGTGACCAGTCTCAGGCATTTTGTTATAACAAAAGAAATTGGACTAAGACAGAAGGTAAATGGTCAGAAAGCATGAAGCTAACTTGTGGTTGAACAGAACTAGAACTTACCCGTTTTCCATATTTTTTACTGTTATATTTATAGTTATACATAATCACGGGATTAGTTGTTACTTCTTTATATATGAACACATATAATAATATAATCTGGCCCACATCATTCCCCAGTACCTCCCCTTTCCCTGTCCTCCTCCCTCTGCTGGTCCCTTTCCTCTGTTCTACTGGTCTTCTTTCTATTTTCATGAGGGACGAAGACTTATAACATGTCACCACACCACTATTCTGTACCTCTCCCTTACAGATGACCTTTCTTTTGTTCCTATCAAGACAAGCAGCATGAGAAGGCAGCCCCCACCCCCCGCATTTTGAAGGAAAAGAACCAAATAGAGTGACTGGTGTTCTTTGCAGGCAGCTCTCAAGGTCATGCCTGGCAATAAAAACCCAGTTGCAGAAAAACAGGCATCAAGCCCGGTACTGAGGCTGGCGAGCCCAGGAAGCTCCTGTGAGCTCATGCACAGATAAAGGAATGTTGAGTAAGGGCCCTCACAGACGCAGGCAAGTCCATTTTCTAATATGAAATGATCAGCACTGATGCCTAAGTCCCAACTAGGAACCAGGAGTCATTCAGAAACAGGCCGTTCCATCAAGAGAGGCTGACCGTGGAGGTGGAAAGACAATGAGGTGCAGGTGCATTGCTCCTGGACCAACAGATGGGGTCTGCAGGGCAGCCCTCAACCCTGCTGGCCACACAGAAGAGTGGCCTAGTAACGGTGTTTCAGGACAAACAACAAATCCTCTCTCTACTTAGCTCCTTGAGTATGATCATATAGTTTGTGGAAAAATGTTATTTATTTATTTGTTTATTTTTGGAATCGGGGATTGAACTCAGGAGCACTCCACCACTGAGCCACATCCCCAGGCTATTTTGTATTTTATTTAGAGACAGAGTCTCACTGAGTTGCTTAGCATCTCGCTTTTGCTGAGGCTGGTTTTGAACTTTCAATCCTCCTCCCTCAGCCTCCCGAGCTGCTGGGATTATAGTCGTGCGCCACCGTACCCAGCTGAAAAATGTTGTTTTAACAATCTACTTGGAAAATACTTTTTTTTTTTTTAAGGGTGGATTGAAGACTCCTGACTTAAACTTTTTTTTTCTTTTCTTTTCATAAAGTTTACTCTGTTATATTCCACTGACTGCTCAAAGGGCCTTCTCCTGCATGCGGGTAGGGGCAGGATTTATGCTCCTAGCTGGGTGCTGATGCAGGCAAGACCCATCAGTATCCACTCTCCTTCTTTACTACCTGAAATGCATTAGGGATAGCAATGTAGTCAAAGAAAACAATGTTGTCCAGAACCCCTTGTAACTAGAGATAAATACGTAACCAACATCTAGTCCAAAGAGATAAGAGTAACTGCTGGGTAGAGTCTTTGAAAGACTCCTTAAAAATGACCCAACTGGGAACAGTGGCTCACGCCTGTAATCCCAGCGGCTCAGGAGGCTGAGGCAGGAGGATTTGGGATTCAAAGCCAGCCTCAGCAACAGCAAGGTGCTGAGCAACTCAGTGAGACCCTGCCTCTAAACAAAATACAAAACATGAGTGGCATGGCAGTGAGCCCCTATGTTCAATCCTCAGTACCAAAAAAAAAGGGATGACCCAGCCAGCAACTGCCCTCTGATCTTCCTTTTTCTTTCTTCTTGCTGAGAAAAGGATGTAATGGCTATGGTGCAGGCATCCTTATTGTAACTCTGAGGCAACCCTGAGGATGGAAGCCCAAAGCTGAGAGTGGTGTAGCAGAATGACTGGAGGAACTTCTACATCAGACCTGAACTTGCCTCCTCTGTGCTTTTTTTCTTCTTAAATGATAGAGGAAAACAAATCCTTACGTGCTTAACCATTTTTTTTCTCTGTACTTGTAACCAAACACATTTCCTAACCAAAACACACACATATACTCACACATATACACTCACCAAGAAGTCTCATCTCTGAAGAGTGAGGCAGAACTACAATATTTAAAGGAGAAAGGAAGAGCAATAACAGGGTATTGATCCCAGCTGTACTAAGAGAATTTCCAACTCAGACTGCAATTAAAATAACTGAGAAGAAAACATCCCAAACCAAATTACCAGTTTCACTGACTAGGGAGGTGCTTTGTTGTGACCCAGAGGACTGATTTGAGAGCTATGAACTGAGCAAAGGCTTCATGCAAGTGTTTTAGAAAAATCATTCTTAAAGAAATGTAGCCTCTGGGCCAAACTAAGTGGAATGAAAATGGCGGCAGGGAGACAGAGAGTTCAAGAGGCTGTCTCTGATTTCAGGAATAGAAAAGCTCCAGGGAATGAGTGCAAATCACTGGAGCATTATTTTCATGATTACTAATGGTTCTTAATAACTATGGGGCAACGTTGGGTCTCTGGTTGGCTAAAAATTATCAGAAATTGCTCACTGCAGTTATACTAATAACTAAATATAATTTGACACTAAATTACAATTCTAGACATGCAGCTTTCCCATAGTCCCTTATTGCAAAGGGAAACTAAGCCAGAACATCAATAAATAGAATAATCCAATTAAGTGTCTCTCCACTGGGGAACTATTTAGAATTAAGAGTTTTAACAGGATAGTGAGATAGGGCAGAACAATTCAGTATTTACTGATTTAAAAAAAATCAAGGCTCTTATTGTAAATCTTATTTTTTTAATTTTAAAGTAAGGGTTGAATTGATCTGAATGGCTTTGATATAGTGGTTTTAATCTCTATAAATTCTTTATAGATACCAGGGATCATTTATCATGAATACATTTACTTGTATTTTAATATTAAATATAAACACTTTTTAAAAAAAGTTCAGAGCATCTTTATAAGCATATTTCCTATCTTTTTTTTAACCACATATAATGTTCACTTGTAATATAAGAGTTACAAATATAGAAAGATGGTTTGGTAGAAATATCTACATTCTTTTTAGCCGCATTTAAGTGAGAAATGAGAGCTAAATTGCCTAATGAGAGTCTATGATGGTGGTGTTAACACACTAGCAGGATTTGTGCCACAGGTGGCATTTCTTCCATATTAGGAGACAGTGACATTTGCCCACAGAGGCAGAAATACAAGGGAAGACATTTGCCCAGAGATGAGTTAGAACAGCCCAAAGGACGCAGTGGCTGTGCTCTGAGTTTTCTGTTAGCCTGTGGGAATAGGATGAGGTACTCGATGGAGGGGGGCCCAATGGATGAGTTAAGGCTGCTCTGGGAAGGTGTTCCTAGTAGCATCTGAAAGCAGCTGGTAAAGCCTGGGGCACATCCTTCAATCTGAGTTTCTGCAGGCGCAGGAGGGGCCTATCCAGTACTGAAAACAAGGTCTGATCAAATTCTCCAGGAAAAGCCTCCAGTCTCAGGGTTCGAGGTTCCCATATTGTTCTTTGTCCAGGACCCCTTTGTTGATCACTACTTCCAATTCAACATGTACTACATAGATGGCCCCTGTGGCATTGACCCCGAGGGGGACTGTAAACACAATGTGGAAAGACTTTTAAAAATACTTACTGCTGGTGGAGGACAGGTGGCTGTAGTCAGACCTGAAACACAAGAGCTCCGTATTAATAGGAATACACGTCATTTTTGTTTATCTGCATGACTTATTCAAGCTACAAGTTGAAACAGTGGGGACAGCATTTGACTGGTAAAGAAATGTCACCACTAGAAAACTACAGTGCTGAGGTTCATTCTGTGCAAACTATAGTTATGTCTGAATTTGAAAGCAAAAATTTGAAGGCACTTGAGAAATGGGGCAACGGGGGGTGGGGGGTCCTTCCTATAGGCTCTGTGGATTCCTCTGATGAGACTATGGGACTCTCTTAATTTGCTGGCAAATTTTCAAATGGTTTGTTTTGCCGAAGAGAAAGCCCCAAAGTTTTCAACAGATTCACGTCTCCCCAAAGACTAACCCACTGCAGATAAGCACCTTCAAATGTCAGCCAAGGATCTCTATGGGAGGGGACAGAACTTTGGCTGCTAATTTGCCCACAGAACCAAAGACATGGGGATGCTTCCATGGATTTCAGTTCCACTGAGAAGAAATCCTGCTGGATATTAGAGTAACGGGATGTAGGCTGTGGTAGGGGAGCAAAAAAGCAGGGTTGGGGCTCTGTGAATGGCCCATTTGGATTTTATGCTGAAAAACCTGTGGCTGGCATTGAGCCGTTATGAGAATGGGAATCCGGCCAAGGATCTGCCTTGCTTAATCTCTGCTAAATTTCTGCCCTACTTGTGTGGTTGTTAAGACTTCCCTCTCTGGAAAGGAATTTGGTGTAGAAGCTATTTCTTTTCTCCCCCCAGTGCCCCATAGTTATTCTCGGTAGGAAATTAATCACTTAAGCGCATAGGGATTTATTCTGCCCGGGTAGATAGGGGACATAGTTATGCAAATAAACTGCTTAATTATGTTTAATTTCATAGATATACACTCCTTTTATTTCCTTGGTCTCATGTTGCCTTTCTGAATCATCCAATTTTCCTTCCACTGAGCTTCTTGAAAGTACATACAAAACTTAAAGAAAAAGAAAAAAAAATCACAAGAAGCATGCCTCTTACTGGTTAAAATAACCTGCATCTCTCAGACCAAATGCACTGATTTATTGCAGAGGAACCAAATGAGAGAAAAACAGCATGTGGTTTTCTCTTTTAAATGAAATATTTTAGTAGTCATAGAGTCATTGAATTTTAAAACTGGAAAGAATAACAACTTCTATCATTTGCATATCCCTGTACATATTACAAACTGCCTTTGCACATATCTAATTCAGTTTTTAATTGGTTAACTGAAAAGCAAAAGAGGTACTATTTGTATGGAGGCAGGAAGTGAGAACTGATAAAGGTTTGGACTCAGGGTGCAGGGTGGGTAGCAAGGGATGAGCTGGAAAGTAGGATGGTTTGGCTAGGGCATGGCGACATGCCTGCTAAGGGGGGATGAAAAGCATCAATGATAAGCAACCTCCTGAAATCTAGCATATGTAACCCCAGCACTGACACTTTAAATTCCTTCTGGAGCCAGGCAGGGCATAAATAAACTTTAAGACAATACTTAGAAATGGAACTATGGAGAAATGCCGTGAATGCCCACCAAAACACCCCCTGTAGTAGATGCAACAGCAAAACCATTCTGTTGCAATACGATCATCTTAAGATGGCCAGACTTTAAAGAAATTTCATGACTATCCAAATACAACATATAACAAGAATGTGCAATATTACTATTTCTCTTGTATTAAAAATGTGTCAGTCGTTTCAGCTAGGATTTTCCAAAGACTCCTGAAGCAGATGGGATTCACATATGCAGACGTTTTAAAGATCTGCGTACAGATGGATATGTATGCAGAATGAAATTTACACTGGAAACGTAGTTCAAGAATCTTAAAGTGCAATGGTAGTATTTTAGGATTGGTGCTAGCATAACTGATGCCCCTCTAAGAATCCCCCCCCACCTCTCAGGATAAAGGGTACTGCTTGGGTTAGGCCTGCCAACTGGTCAGTCTTCAACAGTCATTCGTCTGCTCAATCCCTACCCCATACAGCAGCCAATCTTTGCAAAGCACAAAATCTGATGGTGTCTTTCACTGGATCAAATTCAAGCTTGAGAGTTAAAACACAAACCCCTCACTCCATGGTGATGGTCTCGGCCCAGCTCCGCAGCCCAACTTCCATGCCTGTCCACTATCAAAACAAAGCAAATGGGAAAGAGTCCCTGAACCCTCACGCTGCTCTCCAGCCTCTGATCCTAAGTTGATAAAATTTGTACAGTTTCCACAATGATGGAGATACAATTTTGAACTGCTCTTTTCAATCAACACCACCCTACCATGCTGCTACATAGCTCCTGTAATTATCATTTTAGAGGAAGTGATGCTCTATAATTTATTCAACCATTTCCCTTTTATTGGCTATATGATTGTTCTTGATTGTTCACTTTTATAAAGCACAGAGTGATATTTATGAATATAGCTTTACATTTCTTTTCTTATCCTTAGAATTACCATGAGTGGGAAAACAGACTAAGTCCAGATATGAACACTTCCAGAGCTTTTAATATTCCAAATAACCCCAACAGATCATTTACTGGAAATACTGCCAGGGAAAGATGAACTGTAAAGCTTACAATCATTGTGTGCATAAACAGATTCAAATAAATTCAGAGAACAACCAGATATCTGGTCAGGACTTTGTACTCTTCAACATTTTAGGGTGGGAAGGAAGAGCCGTTGGGTACCTGCCTTGAGATTTGTATATTGTTCTTACATCATGAGAATTCACCTGACTAGCTCTGCCTATGACATTCAAGCTTGCCAGAATGAAGCATGAAAGATGAGTTCATGAATTTTAAGAAATTTCTGAACACATGATACCCATAAGTACAATAATACAAAGATTAGTACATAGTCTCTCATATCTAACATATACAGAGATGCATTTCCAAATATTTAATATCTGTGCCAATAATAAAAAGTTAAGATGTAGTTCCTTAATTTTTTTTAAAAAATATAATTATATGTGTAGACCATATATGTAAAGACTTTCTGTACTTACGGTAGCTTATCTCTGTTAGCAGTCTACTTGCCAATTTAAACATACATTAATTTTATAAAATGATATCTTCCTAAATTCTCTTTTCCAGAAAAATTATGGCATAAGAGCTTTCTGATTTTAAAATTTATTCCACCAATTTTTTTCCCCATTCACCTGTTTAAACTCTCAACTGATGGATTTTTAAAACTCTCTTAAGTCACAGTGAAGTATGAGTTGAAGGCCACCAAAAAGGCAGGGCATGGTATGACCTTGCCATGGGTCAGAAGCTCAGTGACAGCTGACACAGAAGTGGAAGTCCATTAACGTGAGACCAAACTCCTGAATGAATATAATCCACTGGGTCAGGTCACATGTGAAAAAGCAGCTTCCAGGGAAAATCCTGGAGCCATGACTAATGAAAGTCATCAGAAAGCATTGACTTTTATTTGGATTTACAAGGAACTGTCTGTCCCTTGATTAAGGGATTCTGTTTCTAAAGCTGGCTTACACCGTCTGCAGCTGCTGTGCCAGTTCTTTCCAACAGAAAGAACACAGACGCACAAGACTTGCTTTCAGGTGGGTTTGGAAAAATGGGAGTTTCAAAGTGACATCAATCACCACAAAAGAAGACTAGTGTTGGCTTTTAGTCTTGGCCTGGATTAGGTGGGTCAGGTGGCAAAGGCAGCCTTCCAAGCAAAAGAAAATGAGCAGAAAACAAAAATTAGTTAAAACAGTTCAAACAGCTTCTTTAAGAGGCAAAGTCACTAGGTGGCAAGCACGCTAGAGACCCAGGCTTCAATTCAGGTCACTAGAGAGCCATGTGCCTTCTGAGGGTCTGTGTCCCCATCTGTAAAACAGTAATAATGATGATAGTGAGGCATGCCCTGCAGTCTGTTGAATGTTCTGAATGATGATCAAATTGCTTAAGGTATGTATTTAAAAGTATCGGAATGTCTACTGAGATGAGTATAAATAACCTACAGTCTTAAGTTCACCATTATTACATAAGATTCTAGTTTTACCAATTGGCGTATTCTTTGTGTTAATAATAATGATATAATAAGAAAGAATCATGGACTGAGATTGACTTATTCCAGGCATTGTTCTTAGGGCTTTCAATGTACACACTCATTTAATCCTCACAACCACCCAGTGAAGGAGGTCTCATCAATGCCCCCATTGCACAGAGTGGGAAACTGAGAACACAGGGAGATGAAGTTAACTGCTCCAGGTTTCCATGATTCCTAAGTAGAGGAGCTAGGGTTGGAACACGGCAGGTGCTCTTGCAATTTAACTTTCAAAGTGACCACAGTCACTGCCAGTGAGACTCACAAAGTTGCTTGGAACTGTCTCTTTGATCTGATAAATAGGACTGACCATTCTCTTAGACAATACCCTAAAGTCTGTTGTTCCCGTTTTGTTTCAGCTACCTAGCAACAATGTCCCTGCACCCAATCTGTGATGATCCTAAACAGCCCTAGCTCTCTCTTGCCTGACCCCTAGGTTTCATTGAGCACGGCCAGGGGATGAAGGTGGGGGACAGCAAATCCACTCCTGTCTCTGTAAATATATAATCACTCATCTTAACTGGTCCTCCCTCAACCCTGCCTGAACAATCTCAAATCTCCATCATCCTGTATGTATGGTATGTGTGTGTGTGTGGGGGGGGTTTGCATTTACAATGACTGGAAACCCCATCTTCCCTTCCCTCCTTCTGCTTTGATCCGAGGCCCATCCATCCACCTGTGGTCTGAAATCTGCCTGCCTCCTCCTCTTCAGAAAGCTGACGTTACAAAGAGCATCTCTCCTCCTATGTCTTTATACTTTCCCTTTGAATGGAATCCCTCTGTCAGCTGTTTGAATTGTTTAACAACTTGGTGCAGCGGGTTGTTTGCGACCAGCCTCCAGAAACCACAACAGTCGCCCAGTCAGGACCTGTGTTGAGGAACACAACTCCCCTCGCCTGACTCTCCCCTCCTCTACTGCCTCTCTATGCCCCTCTAGCTGTCACCTCTTCCTCACCTTTGATTGCCTTCTGGGGCCACTCTACTCTGGCTTCTGCCTCTACCACCCCACTGTCATCTCCATTAATCCAAAGACACTTCACATCTTGAATAGTTTCTCAGCAGCACAGCTGCTCTCTCCTTCTTTTCCCCCAAACTCAAACTGCCCTTGTCTTTTAGGATATCACATTCTTTTATTTTGTACAGATCCTTTCCCAGGCTCCTTTCAGCTCCTTCTCCTTTACCTGACATTTAAACACTGTGGTTTCTCAAGGCTGGTCTTAAAAAAGACCACCCGTGGCACTGAGTTGTCACAGGAGTCAATGAGCCAATGAAATACTTAGAGGCTCAGAACAGTAGGTGGCACTTACTAAATGCTAAGTGATGTTCCCGCTGACCTTGAGTTGATTTAATCTCTCCTAGGACTTCAAGTCCAGGGTTTGGTAGACAGTTCCCAAAGGTGATGTCACCATGCAGACTTCCTCTTCCTTGAGCTCCAGATGAAGCTCTACCCACACTGTGGACTCATCATGTTTACTTGGCTATCTCTCAAGACCTCAGGCCTGAGTTGACCATGAAACATCTCATACTGTGCCCAAACTTGATTTGGAAGGGATCAGAGACTACCTAAAGAATCAGATAAAAACTAACTTTTCATAAAAATCTGTAAAGTGCATTATTTTTTACATGCTTGGAGCAATTTGTGGACCTCAAATTAAGGATCACTGCCATAGTGGATGTGTCACTTGAGCTGTGTCTTAAAACAAGGATAGAGTTTCGTCAGGTGGACAGGCATGCCAGGTGGAAAGGACACAGCTGGCAGAGAGGACAGTTTGACAAAGGCAAGGCATCAGGAAAGCCTGACACATGTGGCTAGGTGCAGGTGCAAAGGACTTGCAGAGAAACAGGGCTAGAGAGAGGATGGACTCCATAAGGTCAGGCTTATTAGGCACATTAAATTCTTGTACTTGATAGAATAGTCATAAAAGTTTGGGAGAGAGACAAGATAAAAATTCGTTTTAAAAATAATAATGATGAGGCTGGGGTTGTGGCTCAGTGGTAGAGTGCTTGCCTAGCACATGTAAGGACCTGGGTTCGATCCTCAGCACCACATAAAAATAAATAAAATAAAGGTATTGTGTCCAACTAAGCTAAAAAAAAATAAATATTAAAAAATAATGATGGCAAACATTTACTGTGTGCTTTCTATGCACTTTATACTCAGTTTCCACAGGAGATATAGGAATATATGGCAAATACAAAACTATTAAGCATGCATTGAAATTATATTATTTACCATGCTATTTTATCTGAAGAATGCTAGCAATGCAGTAAGAATGCTTTAAACAATTTTGTCCTGTTACAGCCACCCTTTGTAGTAATAGAGGCAGAGAACAGAAGCTCTGGTGTCAGCATGATCAATGTGACCCTCCCAGGAGTTCTGGCAGCTGTCAGGCTGATGCCCAGTTCCTGGGGTGATGTCACCCCCTGGGTCAGGGCTTTCTCTCCCTTCTCTAAGGCAGAGCCCTTAGAAACTTTTTCAAGGTCTGTCTTAGGTAAAATTGAAAACTAATGAACTTTGTTTAACTCAGCTACAAAGTAGCAGGTTCATCTCTCTCTGTGTGTCTTCCAGTCAAGGTCCAGGGGAGGGGGAAGCCCAGATTCTTCTATTAAAGTTGATAAATAAATGCTGGAGATGTGGTTGTGGCTCAATGGTGGAGGGCTTGCCTAGCATAGCAAGGCTCTCAATTTGATCCCTAGCACCACTGAATAAATAAATAAAGTCAGTCAATAAATGCCATATATATAAAGTGTAAGAACAAGTAATTGGGTTAAGCCACCAGATATGATCCCAAACTAGGATAACAGGAAAGCCTACTGCAGAGTAAGTGTAAAGTCCCAGATCTGCAGGCTGCAAGGAAGGGTGGGGTTGACAGCAGGAAGGGCTGTGTGGGGGTCAGGTCAGAATCCCCAGTCCATTTTGGGCCTGGACACTCTTCCTGCCCTCATAAGGTTGCCAAACCCTGAGATTAGCTTGAAACCTCCCTGACCTTTCAGGAATGTGGCTTTCGGTAGTCTGGGCAGCTCTTGCCCTCTTCCAGGGTTACTCTGGATAGGAAAAGACACCCCTTCCTCCGGGTCAGCACTTGCATCCTGCACTTTGCGCTGACTCTGCGCGAGAAAATCCTCTAGAGATAGGGGCTGGGTGGAGGCCTTTACAAGGACATTCATCTCCGAAGACATTCGGCTTTTTGTCCCACTCAGGAAAAAAGTGCTGTCGGGAAAGGACTGATTAGTCTCCAAAGGTTCGCGCTAATTATTCGAGTTTGTTGAAGCGAATAGGACTTTTTTTTTTTTTTCCTTTTCTTTTTAAACAAGCAGGGCCAGATAACAGCCTCGCTTCCATCCCGCCGGTACTCAAGGCAAGCGGTTCTGTCTGAGACAGGTGGCCTGAGGGGCGACGAAGTTAGGGGTGCGAGGCTGGCGCAAGTCGAGGAGGCAGCCTCAGTAGCATAAAGTCCCACACTAAAGTCATAAAGTGAGAAATGCCATCGTCTCAGCTGACTTTTGAAAGGCTTTCATGCCTGCCGGGTGTCCTATCCTCTTCCTGAGGTCCCCATCCTCAGAGCGGGACTCCCGGGGGCTCCGGAGCTACAGGAGCAAAGTCCTCACCGAAGGCTGAAACAAGTGCAAGCTCATCTTTAGTCTCTAACGACGGTGCTAAGGGCACACTGCATCGGCCTAACACTCACGTGATGGCGGAGGACAAGTGGGACTGGGATGGGATTACACTGACCCTTGGGTCCTTCCACTTTCCTCCCCCAGAGATGGGACCCGTCCTGTCCCCCGGGCAGCCGAGGGCCGCGAGGCTCTGCTCCCCGGGATGACCCGGAGGGGCTAGCGGTCCCCCGTCCCTCCCCTCCAGCCCCTAGGGTATTCCCGGGGACGCGGTACTGCGCCTCTGTCCCCGCTCAGAGGCGTAGGCTCCGCCCCGGGGATCAGGGGGGTCCCAGGCTGCCCAAGAGCCACCACAACTCAGAAAACGCCCCCGCCCGCGGCCCGGCCCCACGCGGCTCACCCTCCGGTCTCGGCGCCCGAGTCCACGTTCTCCTCCTCCTCGCCGCCGCCGCCCACCTTCGCGTCCATGGCGCGCCACCTGGCCGCGCTCCCTCCAGGCCGCACAGCCCAGCGCAGCCGGGCTCCAGCCGACCCCGCTCCCTTGGAGCGACGCGCAGTCCGGGCTCGCGCAAACAACTCGGGCTCTAGCCGCCGTCCCCGCGCCGCGCCCTCTCCCGGCAGCGCCCAGCCGGGCACCAGCGGCCGCGCCCGCCCCGCCCCTCGCCGCTCTGCCGGGCGAGCGTGTGCGCGGGGTGCACCGGTGAGAGCGAGGGTGTGCGCGTGTGCACTTGGAGATCTGCGCTCGCGCGCAAGGGTGGTACGGGGCGAGTGTGTCAGAATGGGTGCGTGTGAACGAGGGTGAGCTCGTGTGCATGGGATGCGCGCATGTGCATGGGATTCGCGCGTGTGCACGAGCGCGTGTGAGCCCTAGTGTTTCGCTTGTTTGTGTGTGGTGCGTGCGCTCGAGTGGGAAGAAGTGTAAGGGCGCGTGTCTTTATGGGCTGGGGTGTGGTGCATATTTACAGTTGCACACGCCCGTGTGTGCCCTGGGCGCATGTGCCCGTTGTGGTTTGTGACCCCTTGAGGGAGATGGGGCACTGGTGTACCCGGTGCCCACTGTAGGGAATCCAGAGTACAAGGGATTGCCTGAGGTTCTCCAAACCTGGCGCTGCACAGCAGGGAGAAATTCCCGACTTCAAGGTGAAAGTGGGGAGGGATCTGTTTCTTTTTTGGGACCAGTTCAAACACCTGGGTGTTTTCTTTTAGTTGCTTCAGAATTGCCAACGCTGAATTATTATCACCTTTCTCATCGCGGGTCTGAGTGGCTTCTCACCACCCAACTTGCCAGCTTATAGTAGGTGTCCTGAATTCCTTTGTTATTAAAAAGTACCTTTAAAAATAAAAGTAAAGAGCACTGGATGGACCTGCATTCAGGGGTTGTTGCAGCAAGAGGATAATGGATGTTGAGAAGTGGCCCCTCCACTGGATCCTGGGTTCAGGATCACCTTCTCTCAGCTGAGGTGAAGACAAATTGGTGGAGTGGTTGAAAGTGGCATCCTGAACAACTGTGATTTAATTCTGGCAGTCCTATCCAAGCCATTGGAAGACACTTCTTTATTCTAAGGCAAGCTATTTAACCTCTTTGAGTCTTAACTGCCTCATCTGTAAGATAGGGTTATTACTGTCTACCCTGTATCTGTTGGTGAATGACATGGGATAATGTCTGTAAAACATTTACATGGCTCCTGTGCACATCAAGCACCAGCCACAGGCAGCACAAGGCAGCACAAGGTGTGTGCATTCGCCCTCTCAACTTGCAAAGCAGAGTTGCCCCAGGTGACGAGTGATACCTCAAAAAAGGAATGTAGTCTCTTTCCCCTTCCTTTCTCCTTCTCTCCTACTCTTCCTTCCTACTTATCTACAGAAATGTCACCTCTTCCTGATTCTTTTTTTTAATATTTATTTTTTAGTTGTAGTTGCACAAAATATCACTTAGTTATTTTTATGTGGTGCTGAGGATTGAACCAGGGGTCCCACACGTGTGAGGAGAGTGCTCTACCGCTGAGTCACAACCCCAGCCCCACCTCTTCCTGATTCTTATTTCTGATAAATTACATGAAAGAGAAATCTAATTAACAAAAAACAGAATAGAAGTGCAAGCTCATCATCAGAAAAAAAAACACAGGTTAATATCCCAACCCCAAATCTATATAGGCCTTACTGAGCTAAATTCCTTGTACCTAAACCAGAAACAGGTAGATGATACTTGAGTGATGCTCATTGGCTGAAATAAAGGAATAGTTCTTCTTCGGGTGGGACTCCCCCATCCCCATGCACTGATTTCTAAAAGAAAATTCTCAAAATGGCGAAGAAATTATGGATGATGGACAGCATCAATAATCATTTTAAAGTTATCAATTCATTCAATGATTATTTACCAAACAAGAGGGAACAGAATTTAAATTGCGCGCCAGGGAAAGTTCTCTCAAGAAAGGAATATTTGTTTGAGCCCTCTCTGCTTCAGGACTTTTGCACTTCTGTTCCTTCTCCCTGGAACACTTTCTCCCAGATTTTCTGCCAGACTCCCTCCACATTTCCCTCAGGGCTCTCTCTGTTCAGATGGCCCCTCATGGGAGAATCCTTCTTGATTATCCTCCATCGAAGCATTGTGCTCTACTCTTTCTCATAACCCCATCAGTACCTGGAAGATGACAGATATATTTACTAATTGCCTGCTCTTAGCTCCTCACTCCTACCCCAGCTCCGAGAGAACAGGAGCTCAGTGGGCTCTGTTCACTGCTGTATCCTTAGCATCTGGACCAGTCCTCAGAGCATCCCAAGTGTGAATGGGAAGCAGCCCTGAATGGGGATATGGAGTGAGGAGGGCGGTCCAGGTAGAGAGATTGGCAGGTGTGAGACAGCATGAGCACTGAGCTTTCCATTAGACGGGGGTGGGTGGGTGGGTGGTGAAGAAAAGCCCCGTGACCAGAGCTGTACAAAATGGCGCAGGCAACAGTGAGAATCCAACATAAATGTAACGCTTCCAGGAAGTCACCAGTATTACTATAACTTATTTGGAAAGTAGAAGGACAAATGAAATGCTGATGAATCCATATTGAAGGGAGAGATACAAGTGGCCTAACAGGTAAGTATAATAAACATTCTACCATCTCATTATCCTCCTGGCCATAAGGGAATCTGCTTTTTCATATATTTCTAGACATTTAAAACATGTATCTCATTTGAACCTTGGTGAAGTTCTGCGAAGTTTACTTTCCCAGTTTACAATGAAGGAAATGAAGCCCCTTGAGTTCTAGTGCCTTCTCTTGGATCACCTGAGCAGTAAGTCGGGGTGCCAGGTGGTCCACTTAACGTGGATGGAGTCCACACCATCTATTTTAGTTTTATCACAATGATCAAAAGACCCAACAAGAACAACAGAGAGGAAAAAAGTTTATTTGGCTCACAGTTTCAGAGATTCAGTCCACAGTAGGCTGAATGGATGGCTCTGGGCAGAACATCATGGTGGAAGGGTGTGGAGGAGGAAAGTAGCTCAGGACATAGCAACCAGGGAGCAAAGAGAGCTCTGCTTACCAGGGACAAAATATAAACCCCCAAGGCACACCCCTCCAGTGACCTACTTCTAGCTATGCTCTACCTGCCTACAGTTACTGCCCAGTTAATTTGTGTCAGTGGATTAATCCACCAGTTAGGTTAAGGCTCTTATAACCTAATCATTTTACCTCTTCGTTTTCTTGCATAGTTCATCATTGGCATAGCTGTTGGATGGCAAATGGGTGATGTGAGTCTTATCTGGAATTCAAGCTTGAATAGTGTCACTGTGTTCTAGTTATGCATGGCCTCCCACTTTAGTTCCTAGGTCTTGGTAGCCCCACTTTATTGTATTTTTGGAATAAGAGCTATTCATATGTAACCAGTATAAGAACCTGATATTGATTGGCACAGGGTATTTAGCCCGTAACCTTTACATGGCTTCCATGCTCTATTTTCATGCTATTTAATGCTGATCACTCTGATCATGGAGATGGAGTACCCCCTTCCCTTGCCCTGTAAGATGGGGTCAGAGGAGTGTTTCTGATCTGATTTGGGTACCCTGCCTGCTGCTCTAGAGATGTTCCATCTGAGCCTGAGGACAGTGCTGCAGGAGCACTGATGTATGGCAGGAGGTGTGACAGGCCAGCAAATGTGAAACCTGACTTCTGGACCTGAATTGTCATAGGTCACTTGTTTAAATGTCAGACATTTTTTTGTGCTATGAATTTTGCATATGTGATCTCTTTAAGGCTCATAAAAATCTTGTGAGGCTTCTATTGTCCTTAAAATGAGGTCATTAATATGAGTCTCAGGAGATTTGAAGCCCTTTTATGACTGCTTGTGAATGCAAAATGGCATTGATTTTTTAAAAATTCTTTTTTTTTCTCAGAAAGTTCTGAGCATCACTCTGGTGTTGTATTTCACCCATACTGGCCATTTATTTCTCCACTGATATTATTGCATAAGTTTTTGTCTTAGAAAACAAGGCCATTCATCCATCTATTTCTCAAACACTCCGTGTGCCAGGCAGTGGCTGGTGTGGAGAGACATTGGGGAGCAGCCAGAGTTAGTTCCTGGCTTTCTGTGAGTTCTTGAGGTCAGAGTGGGCAGTCGATCATGTCCCATGGTCTGAGGGCATGGCTGGCTTTGTCACCAAGCCTAGCCTTTTTTAGATGGCTCCTTGAAGCATCCTGACTTTTGCATGGTACCATTAGCCGGACTAGGGCCAGGATATCAAAGGCCTCTACTGGAGAAAGCAGCTCAAAATGGTAAAGGGCATCAACTTTGCTGATGAAAGAGAGAAATTTGTAACTAAGGAGGCATAAAGTAATTGGGAGAGAGCCAAAGTTCTAAACCACAGGAAATAAATGGCATTAAGATAAAAGCTCTAAATCAAGAGACTGAAAACAGAAATAAAAATTTACAGGAAATGGGATTGGCCTGCATTTGAGTTTCAAGGTAGAGAGACACTTGGTCACTTCCACAGTGTGACTCAGTGCCCTTGGCTTTAAGGCCAGCTTTCCCTGACACAGTTCTTTAAAGTAACTTATCCAGCAGCAAAGAAAACATGTTGGTTTGGGAAATTTTGTTCATTCATTCATTAATTAACTTTTAAAGATTCCCCAGAAACAAAAATTTCAGGTTAGAGACATGAAAAAAAAATCACTTTCTTCCAAGTCTCTAGAAGAGTGTCAGATGTGAAAAATAAATATTATGATCATGACAAGAAAAATTATAAACTATTGACAAATCTACGTAGACAAAGAAAGCCACTAGCCCCACATGCAAGCATAAGGGGACCAGATGGCAAAAGGATAAATGAAATGAAAGATAAACTGTTGAGTTGGAAAATAATCCCATTAAAATATGACTTCACTTTGATGGAGGAGAACAGAAACTCAGCCTGTAGTTTTTCGGGTGAGATCTGAGGTTAAGCCAGATACCCACCCATCCGCTCATAGGGACTCCCAACTGGCAGCCTGGTGGGCATAAAATGAGAGGGGAATGTGAAAGACTTCTGGAAAAGTGCTGTAGAGATTTAAGAATGTGAAGGAAACTCTAGATCAAGTCACTGGCCTCTGGGCCCCTGGGGGATAGAC